AAAACTCAATTGCGCCAAGCGTAAGGGAATGCCAAACATTTGGTAAATTTTCCCCGATCAGGATAAAAGATCCCATTGAAGCGGCTAATCCCATGCATACTGTTTGTACATCTGGTCGCACAAATTGCATAGTATCATAAATAGCTATTTCTGGTATTACCCATCCACAAGGAGAATTTATAAACAAATACAAATCTTTGCTCTCACTCGCTATCTACATCTTGACCTAAAAAAAGTAATTGTTCTAGATAAAGACGGTTGATTAGGATAAAACTCTATCCTTTAGGAACCGTACATGCACCTTTTAAATTCATATGGTTCAAAAAATCGCGAAAACAAAAAATAAGAATCAATGTGTAGCCTCTAACCCTCCCTTTTCTTGTTTTTTCTTGATAGTAAGTACTCTTTAACTTCTCTTCTATCGAAGGTGTTTGTCTTCCAATTTTTCAAGAAAGATGAGTTTTGTCCTGTTTAGCCATAAATTTTTTTATTAAACTTCTCAAACTAGCTTCTCATTGATTGAGTCTTTTGTCGAGATCCGGTGAAATCACGATGGCGTTTTCTTGTTCCTGAATGGGGTTTTTCAATTCTTTTACGTTTGCACTCTACTCCAAGTAAGGATTTGCCCGATTTTTATCAGCACATATAGGGCAAATGCCTCCAATACCTCATCTTTTTGCTACAACTTCCTTAATATGGATAGATATTAGTAATTGGTTTTTTTTTCTAAACGAAGCCTTGATAGTTCATTTTACTGGTCTAAGTCCAACCACGCCAACCATAAATTATTCTAATTGATAATATTAAGATTTATTTCGCTACCGCAGACGCATAGATGTAATTTTAATTCATTGCATTTCACGCTCCAAATTTTTTGACCGATTTCATCAATCTTTCTTGGGCGAAATGGAGGGTATCCCGATCGGGGGAGAGAACGGGGAAATCCCATATGACCCAATATATATGGCAAGCCACACTATATGTCAATCCAAACAGAATCGTCCTCTCCAGAATTTATTGTCTTAATAATATTTATTATCCTTAAAGGAAGAAAAAATTAATAAATTCCAATTTGTACTCATAGGTCCGTTGAATGATGAACAAATCTGTATGCATTCACTAATGTAAACCGGGGTATTGCATATTGGTACTTATTGGATATATAATAGATATGCTTCTCTTTGTTCCTACAAACAGAATTTTACATTTTTATATTACTAAAACTAAAGGAAGAGAAAAAAAAGACTTTCCCCAGGCTAGTAAAGTGAAAGGGGGCAAATAACATATAGTTTTCAGTGCAATAAAGTTACATAGTGTCTACTTTTCGTTGCTAAAGAGGTATTTCCATGGGTTTGCCTTGGTATCATATTCATACCGTCGTATTGAATGATCCCAGGCGTTTGTTGTCTGTTCATATAATGCATACAGCTTTGGTTGCTGGTTGGGCCGGTTCGATGACTCAATATGAATTAGCGGTTTTTGATCCTTCTGACCCCGTTCTTGATCCAATGTGGAGACAAGGTACATGTTTGTTATACCTTTCAAACCACACTTGTCTGTTCATAAAATACTGAAAACACACACTTGTAGTTCAAGCAACGCCCTAACACATGGGCAAACTCAATACTTAAAATCTCAAAGTGATCTCCAGTCTATACTCATAATCATAAATGTAAATAACTAATAATCTCTAATGTTGCTGCTACTGAAAACCTTGACTAAGCATCCTCCGTGACGCTTATACGCCAACCATAAATTATTCTAATTGATAATATTAATATTTATTTCGCTACCGCGGATGCATAAATGTAATTGTACTTCATTGCAATTCACGCTCCAATTTTTTGACGATTTCATCAATCTTTCTTGGGCAAAATGGAGGGTATCCCTATCGGGGGAGAGAACGGGGAAATCCCATATGACCCAATATATATGACAAGCCACACTATACGTCAATCCAAACAGAGTAGTCCTCTCCAGGATTTCGAAAAATGTACTTTTGGAACACCAATAAGCATTAAATGAACTAAAAAAAATTAAGTACTCTATTTTACTTTGATGTGAAAGCGTAACAATGAATTTGTTGTCTTAATAATATTTATTATCCTTAAAGGAAGAAAAAATGAATAAATTCCAATTTTTACTAATAGGTCCGTTGAATGATGAACAAATCTGTATGCATTCACTAATGTAACCCGGGGTATTGCATATTGGTACTTATTGGATATAGAATAGATATGCTTCTCTTTGTTCCTAAAAACAGAATTTTACATTTTTATATTACTAAAACTAAAGGAAGAGGAAAAAAAAGACTTTCCCTAGGCTAGTCAAGTGAAAGGGGGCAAATAACTTACAGTTTTTCAGTGCAATAAAGTTACATAGTGTCTACTTTTCGTTGCTAAAGAGGCATTTCCATGGGTTTGCCTTGGTATCGTGTTCATACCGTCGTATTGAATGATCCCAGGCGTTTGTTGTTTGTTCATATAATGCATACAGCTTTGGTTGCTGGTTGGGCCGGTTCGATAACTCTATATGAATTAGCGGTTTTTGATCCTTCTGACCTCGTTCTTGATCCAATGTGGAGACAAGGTACATGTTTGTTATACATTTCATGATTGTTATACCTTTCATGACTTTTTTAGGAATAACCAATTCATGGGGTGGTTTGAATATTATCGGAGGAACTATAACGAATCTGGGTATTTGGATTTATGAAGGTGTGCTGGGGCGCATATTGTGTTTTCCAACTTCTGCTTCTTGGCAACTATATGGCATTGGGTGTATTGGGATCTATAAATATTTTGCGATGAACGTACAGAAAAGCCCTCTTTGGATTTGCCTAAGATTTTTGGAATTCATTTATTTCTTTCAGGGGTGGCTTTTTTTGGGTTTGGTGCTTTTCATGTAACTAGCTTATTTGGTCCTGGAATATGGGTGTCCGATCCTTATGGACTAACTGGAAAGGTACAAGATGTAAATCCAGCATGGGGTGTGGAAGGTTTTGATCCTTTTGTTCCGAGAGGAATAGCTTCTTATCATATTTCAGCAGGAACATTGGGCATATTGGCGGGCCTATTCCATCTTAGTGTCCGTCCGGCTCAACGTCTATACAAAGGATTACGTATGGGAAATATTGAAAATGTCCTTTCCTGTAGGATTGGTGTTTGTTTTTTTTTTTTTTTTGCATCTTTTGATTTTGATGGAACTATGTGGTATGGTTCAGCAACTACGTCGATTGAACTATTTGGTCCCACTCATTATCAATGGGATCAAGGATATTTTCAGCAAGAAATATATAGAAGACTTGGTGTTAGATTAGGTGACAATCAAAGATTATCTGAAGGTTGGTTTAAAATTCCTGAAAAATTAGTTCTTTATGATTATATCGAATATAATCCGGCAAAAGGTGGATTGTTCCGAGCAGGCTCAATGGACAATGGGAATGGAATAGCAGTTGGGTTGGTAGGACATCCTATCTTTAGAGAAAAAGAAGGGCGGGAACTTTTTGTATGCCGTATGCCTACTTTTTTTTGAAACATTTCCAGTTGTTTTGGTAGACGGAGACGGAATTGTTAGAGCGGATGTTCCTTTTCGAAGAGCCGAATCAAAGCATAGTGTTGAACATGTAGGGGTAACGGTTGAGTTTTGTAGTGGCGAACTAAATGGAGTTAGTTATAGTGATTCTACTGTTGTGAAAAAATATGCTAGACGTGCTCAATTGAGTGAAATTTTTGTATTAGATCGTGCTACTTTGAAATCAGACGATGTTTTTCGTAGGAGTCCAAGAAGTTGGTATACTTTTGGACATGCTTCGTTTTCTCTGCTTTTCTTCTTTCGACACATTTAGCATGGTGCTAGTGTAACACCCTAACCCGGTCGGGTACTACTTTTACTAAAATGATCTTGATAAATGAAATACTCAAATCTTAAAATTGCAGCGGGAAAAAATTTTATAAATAAAAACTAAAAACACACACTTGACCACCGCGGAACGAATCACCATCCGGTGGCGTGACTACGGCGGAACGTATCACCATCCAGTAGCACAACTAAACCTAGGCAATGGAGACCGTGGAACTCATCACCGTCCGACTCCATTCCTGACCAACTACCGCGGAACGTATCACCATCCGGTAGTGATCAACTACCGCGGAACGTATCACCGTCCGGTAGGAATCCGTCTAGCTAGTGGCTAGCTAAGCGAGGTTACTTATCTTATTCTTAATTATTACTTTCTCTTACTCTCCTCATCTTAACTTATTAACGGTGAAGTACTACTAAAACTTATTCTTACGAATCAAAACCTCTTTCAAAAATAGAGAGTGTTCTATCGTTGGTAAATACGTAATCTTAGTGACGTCAATCTGGCAACTAGTGAGATACCCAATGCTCTCAAGTGTGAATAGCGATCAGCCTGCTCCGACGCCGGCGCTTTTCCTTTCAGACCGACCGCCGGATGCCTCTCCCACGATTACGAGCGCATCCCCGGGGACGGTTGCTGAACCAAAAGGCGACGACGATGGCGATCGACCCAAAAGCAACGGTGCAGCGACCCGAGCAGCCTGCGAGTAGCCAGCCAAAATTCTCCTACGCGAACGCGGTCCAGGGTTGGGGCTGCCGGTGACTAATGGGGGTGATCAATGGACCCCAGTAGGGGAACATGATCTCATCCCCGGGGAAAGGAATGGTGAACCAGCGCTGAGGGTGTCAGCGGATTTCAAGAACAAGATTTGTGCACCTTGGCAACGAGCTCTGGTGGTCCGCTGTTAGGGCTCAAACTGGGCTTCTCGACCCTATGCGCCCGTTTACGTGGGCTCTGGAAACCGACGGGATCAATGGAGGTGAGAGACCTCGATCATGACTGTGTTCTGGTCAAGCTTAGCACTGAGCAAGATTATTTCCGAGCTCTCACAGACGGACCCTGGATGATTTTCGACCACTATCTAGTGGTTCAACAATGGTCTCCCAAGTTTAAAGTCTCTGATCCGCTCCCGAAGACAATGATCGTTTGGGTACAGCTCCCGGCCTTGAAGATTCATTTTTATCATAAAGAAGTACTCATGACTATTGGGAATCTAATTGGAAGAACCATCAAGCTTGATTACCACACTCTGAATCAACAACGTGCGAAGTTCGTCAGACTAGCTGTTGAAGTGGATTTGGCAAAACAACTTGTGCCCCGGATCTGGCTCGATGACGCTTGGCAGAAAGTAGAGTATGAGAATTTGCCCAAAGTATGCTTCCACTGTGGTAGAATTGGGCATGCGGATGAGGAATGCCGGGAAAAACGTCCGACTGCGCTGTCGCCGGCGTTCACCAATCTCGAACTCGCCCCCACGGTGGCAGGGACGACGGAGGACCCGGAGGAGCCAAATCCGGGATTCGGGCCGTGGCTCCTGGTCACAAGGAGGAGCGGGCGGAATCAGTGGGATGGCGACAGAAAAGGCAAGTCGGAAGATGTGAAGGCGGGATCGTCGGGCGGACAGGCTTTGCCGGGCAAGCATCCGAAGACTGGAAGGGAAACTTCCCTTATTGCGGAAAAGGGAATCTCTGTTTCATCCTCCCAGATGCCGAAGATGATGATTCAAGAAAAGAAAGTATCTAACGGAAAAAAGAAGGGAGATGAGGGGAAAAAAGGAAAGGCCAAAGCCCATCCCGAGGGGTCAACATGGGAGAAAGGGTTGCTGGGCTCGGGCCCAAATCATGCTACGAATCAGGCTTTTGGGCCAAAAGCGACTGGAAACTCCTCTCAACAAGCCTCCAAGAGCTCTTTCCCTGCCGCCCAACCTGGCCTGCGGAGTGGGCTTCCTGGGCCGGCTTTAACTGCCAAACAGGGCAGCCCTTCTGCTCAGCCCACTAGTCTCCCCCCTCCCCCACCTACCCATACCGTGATCGGCCCAAATGGAACTCAGATGGAAATCGTCGAACTCCATCCCGCCCAGTCCACCCCCCAGAATTCGCCGTCGGCGAGAAGTCGCACCAAAAAAAGCAAAAACAAAAAAGCGACCCCCCTAAGATCTCCGAGCAAGCTTCTGTCAACGAAGGCGCTTCAAGTTTGGACCCCAAAGAAGGATCGGAAGCCGAAGTCAAAGGCGAGACTGGCGTCTCTTACCCTCCAAGAGATAGATGCTTGGACGAAAGCTGCCCAGATTGCTACCGGAATGACAGGGGAAGCTGACGCAACGAACCGCCAAAGGGAGGCCGCCCCGGAAGCTGTTCTGGAAGGAGAAGCCTCCCAACAGAACGACTGATTCTCTCTCTGCCTCTCTTTACTCTTTACTCTTTTCCCCTTTCTGCTTATTTTTTATTTATGTCGATGTCTTCTCTTCCTAATTTTAAAGTTTTGGCTTGGAATGTTGGCGGTGCAGGCGGGAGAGTTTTCGTTCGGGCGCTGAAGTTGGTGCTCCAGACTCACCGGCCAGATTTTGTCATACTTCTGGAACCTCAGATAAGCGGCAGAGCTGCTAACTTGGTGTGTGACAGCCTTGGGTTCCCCAGGTCCATTCGAGTTGAAGCTTCGGGTCGTAAAGGGGGAATCTGGGTGTTTTGGTGGGATAGTGACTTCTCCCCCTGCTTGATTTCGGCGTGCAATCAACATATTTTCCTCAGGATTGATTCGACCTGCTACCCCCCCTGGGTTCTTACCTCTATATACGCCTCCCCCAGGCAATGTGAGCAACGAGTTCTTTGGGAGAACCTGATCAACCAGAGTAAGCAAATCGAGGTTTCATGGTTATTGACGGGCGATTTCAACACCATCCGGGACTTGGGGGAGAAGGAGGGGCCGCCGGCGAGCAACACTGTGAGACGTTGTCGGGTGTTTAACGAGCGTATCAATACGGCAGATCTGATAGACCTGGGTTTCTCGGGTCCCAAGTTCACTTGGACCAGGGGTTATGAGAGTAACACCGTGAAAGCCAGCCGGCTTGATCGCAGCTTGTGCAACCCTCAGTGGAATTTGGTCTTCCCAAATACTTCGGTCATGTATCTTCCTCGTACTCAGTGGGATCACAACCCCATTTTGACCACCATCCTCTCGCAGGGCAGCTCTAGGATGGGGAGCCGCCCCTTCCGCTTCGAAGTTGCTTGGCTCAGTGATGCCAGGTTGCAGGAGGTTGTGTCTAATGCCTGGGACAACCAAACTCTTCTTCCTTCTGCTTTGTCCAGCCTTGCAGGTACTCTCCGCGATTGGAACGTCAATATTTTTGGCAACATACAACAGAAGAAGAGGAGATTCCTTGCGCGCATCAAAGGAGTGGAGGACCGCCTTGCTAGTCAATTCTCGCCTGGCCTTGCTAAACTTCATGCCAAGCTCGAGGCGGATTTGGATCAGGTGCTAGAGCAGGAGGGAATGCTTTGGTTTCAACAGGCCAGAGATAAGTGGGTGAAGTTCGGAGAGCGGAATACGGCCTATTTTCACCAGCAAACCAATCTCAAAAGAAGAAAGAAGAGGATCGAAGCGCTACAAGATGAGGCCGATAACTGGATCAATGATCCCCACTCACTGGCCCTCCTGGTTTTTGAGTCCATCTCTAACCTTTATATGCAGGACGAGTCTGTGTATGAAGACAAGCTCCCAACAGGTCAATTTTCGCGGCTGAATCAGGAGGAGCTGCTGTCTATTCTCCGTCCTTTCACGACGATGGACATTCATAAAGCGATCTTTGACATGAAGCCCTTCCAGGCTCCTGGGCCAGATGGTTTTCATGCCGCTTTCTATCAACATATGTGGAGAGTGGTTGGGAAGTCTCTGACGGATATGGCGATGACTTTCTTTGCGAACGGGGAGCTCCCCCCCTCAGTTACTGATTCCACCCTGGTTCTCATTCCAAAGCTGGAGGTTCCGGAGAGAGTAACTCACCTCAGGCCCATCTCACTCAAAAATGTGTCTCTTAAAGCCATAACGAAAGCTATGACGAGCAGGCTGAAACCGGTTATGAGGAAACTTATTTCTCCGCGTCAAAGCAGTTTCATTCCGGGAAGACAAACGGCGGATAATATTCTGGTTGTTCAGGAGGTGCTTCATTCCTTCAGGAAGAAAAGAGGCAAGAAGGGAGGTCTGGTTTTCAAGATCGACCTAGAGAAGGCTTATGATAGATTGAGATGGGACTTCCTGAGAGACACGCTGAAGGAAGTCGGCCTTCCCAGTTCATGGATTAATTGCATTATGTACTGCGTGGAACAGAACATGATGCAAATTCTTTGGAATGGCGACCTATCTCAACCCATATGCCCGTCTCGCGGAGTTTGTCAGGGAGATCCTCTTTCCTCCTACTTGTTTGTTTTGTGTATGGAGCGCCTGTCTCATAGAATTGATCTTGCGGTTAGGGAGGGTCTTTGGAAACCGGTGAAGATTTCAACGAATGGTTCCCCTCTAACGCATTTATTTTTTGCAGATGATCTTCTCCTCTTCGCAGAAGCAGAAAGTCGCCAGATCACTGCAGTGAAGCAATGCCTGGAGGATTTCTGTTTCAGTTCGGGTCAACATGTCAACTACAACAAGTCTATCCTTTATGTCTCTCCCAACATCAGCCGCCGGAAAGCAACTCAACTCACCCAGCGTGCGGGTGTTCCTCTCAAAGCGGCTCTGGGGAGATACCTTGGAATTCAGGCAATCCAGGAGAGAGTGACCAAAGGGCGTTACCAGTCCTTCATTCTTCGAATTCAAAAGAGGATGGCCCCTTGGAAAGCTAAGCGGCTCTCTTTCGCGGCCCGCCTTACTCTAACCCAATCTGTGTCTGTTTCCTTGCCTGTCTATAACATGCAGACAGAGCTCATTCCCATGGGAGTCTGCAGGTCAATCGATAAGCTCAACAGAGACTTTATCTGGGGTGACGAGGAGGGGAGGGCGAAAATGCACTTGGTGGCCTGGGAAAAGATGACCATGCCAAAGAAGCAGGGGGGTGTGGGCATCCGCCCACGAGGCAGGCGAACATGGCCATGCTGGCTAAGTGTGGCTGGAGACTTCTTAAGGACAAAGACAGTATCTGGACGCAAGTGATGAAAGCGAAGTATGGCCGCCATCGTCAAGACCTGGATATGATCCGTCCAATTAAGGGAAGTTCTTTCTCCTGGGCTAGCATTGCTAAAACGGCTAGTCTTCTTAAGAAGGGGTGTGCGTGGAATATTAAGGATGGTAGAAAAACTCATTTTTGGCTTGATTGTTGGGTCTCGCAGGTTCCTCTCCGAGAGCTGGCCATTGATCACATGCCGCCGGACTTGGAAGGGGTGAAGGTGGTGGACATGGTGCGGGAAGATGGCCGATGGAGGAAGGAGCTCTTTGAAAATTTTCTCCCTGCAGAGGTGGTTCAAAAGATTTTGAGCGTGGCGGTGGACATTGAAGCGGAAGAAGAGGACTAGCTCTTCTGGTCGGCGTCTGCAGACGGAAATTTCACCACCAAGTCAGCCTTCCACCTCTTATCCACTCACCAACCGGATCGAGAGGAGGCTATTTGGAAGATTATTTGGAAACTCCCCACCTTGGAGCGGATTCGTTGCTTCATGTGGGAAGGATTGCCACCAACGCCTTGCGGTTCAACAGGAGAGTGGCGGACAGCCCGGAGTGCGCAAGATGTGATGGCCAGCCGGAGACGGTTCTGCACCTTCTCAGGGACTGCACTCCGGCCATCTTCTTCTGGTCCCGCCACGTCCACCAGCAGCAGCAACTTTCTTTCTTCAGCTGTGACCTCCGTGAGTGGCTGTACATGAATCTTACCAGCAGTGATACCGCAGGTAACGGGATCGAGTGGCCTGTGTTTTTTAGTACTGCTGCGTGGCTCATCTGGAAAAACCGCACGGTTTTTTGCTTCAATGGAGCTGGGGCGGCGATGTCTCCTCCTACTCTTGAGTTTTCCATCCTTGCTAAATCGAAGCTCTGGAGAGACTCTTGGTTTTCGCCCACCCCTCTTCAAGACAACAGGAACCGGCCAGCTATGCGGGTGATGGCGGACATTGGTTGGAGTGTCCCAGAGAGTGGTTGGTCGACACTGAACATTGACGGTGCATCTAATGGCAACCCCGGACCGGCAGGAGCAGGGGGCCTTTTGCGGGACGACACAGGGAGGTGGGTGAAGGGGTTTGTGGCGAACTTGGGCACCGCCACTGCTGCCTTGGCTGAACTTTGGGCATTCAACCACGGTTTGGACCTGGCCTGGAAAGAAGGACACAAGGCGATCAAAATTGAATCAGACTCTCAGCTAGCTATCCACCTCATTGAAAACAGGCATGACCCGGTCCACCCTATGCTACTCTCTTAGCAGGTATTCGCAGGAAAATTAGTCGCGATTGGTTAGTTCGTATTGTTCATACATATAGAGAAGGGAATAGAGCCGCGGACTGGCTCTCAAAGCACAGTCTCGTCTATCCCAACGGTGTGTATGAACTTACGGATCCTCCAAACGGACTAAGACAAGTTCTTAGAGACGATATGTTAGGCGCTACTTTTCAACGTCGCATTGTAACTCCCTCTCCCTCCTCCACCTAGATCCCCTTGTCTATGTTTCTCCTGCTTGGCTCCGGCCTCCCTTGATGCAAAAAAAAAAAAAAAAAGGTAAGCACATCAAACAATATCTCCAACGAGAACATGCATTATCAAGCATAGACATAATCAAGCACTGCATACACTTCACGTAAAACACATTTAAAACTCGCAAGGAAAATACTTCAAAAACCGTAAGGCGTAGAATTTACCCCCTTTACATTCACCTTGATGTTCAAACCGACTGGCTTGAATTATCAACGAACTTCATAGACCACCTGACATTCGAACTCATTGGCTGAAGTGCAACAATCTCTCTCTTGTACGACCATGCATTTAATTGGATTTGAATTAGTTAGATTCTAAGCAATTGATACAACCCTACTCTCTAGTAATTTTCACTAATCCCCATTCATCCAAGCGTTACACTTCACTTCCATTTTAGTACGTGTCCATGAATCAATCCCCCTTCTAATTAAGCCACCTACACTATCCACGAAACCATGCCCTACCACTCTACTTGTGCTATTCTTCACAATCCACAATTAATTAACATACACGTTTCTTTCCCTCCTAGAAATGCACATGTTCAAGCAAACGAGATAAAGGAAGGTCTCCTACCTTGCAATCCATTCGCTCTAGTATGATCGATGCAACTATGATCTCCAAAACCTTCTTCGAGTTGGTCTGCCTCTTTCTTCAAGAACCTCAGCATCGCATCAAAATCCCTACGTCCAATTATCGACCACCACCAAAAGTAGAAGTACATGTGAA